GCCGTGGTATATGTGGTCTGTTAGTCCTTTGGACTAATCTTTCCCTTGTATCTTTAGTTTTCTTCATTCTCTCTTGCTCCCGAAGGGGTGAGACCAGTGGAGTATTTTAGATGGCTGCTCACAGGCTTTTAAGACCCCAGACGCTACTCACCAAAGTAGAATATAGAACATTTTCCTTATAAAGTATATTATGCCAGTTGAGCTAGATGTTCCCCGAGACCATGGTCCCCACAGCCCTCAGCCCAGCGGTTTGGTCCCTCAGGGAGTTTGGATGTCTATAGAGCTTCCATGACCTTGCCTTATACAGGTTGTACTGGCTACCCCAGTATTGTGTACTGTCTTACCCTTCACCAAAGTTACCATTTATCTATTGTCTATTTAGTGTTTTAGATTTGCATTTTTTAAGTTAAAAAATAAATTACCCACTCCTAACTTAACTTGACATGGTTAGGTTCCAAAGACCAGGTTGTTAGGCAAAAATCAATGTTATGCGAAACTTAAGTGACCAAATATTCCTCAAGTTCCAGGAGTCATTTTGGAGGCAGCCCCCATGGGGCTGCTCCTTCCCCTGCAGCTGTAGTCTCAAGGTCTGCAGCTCACATGTCTCAGTGCTGTGACTTCCAACTTCCACAGTGACTTCTGTACTTCAGGTGGGAGGGTCGGCTTGTGCCATTTCAAACCACAGATAGAGCTGATTGGGTTAGGATTTGCAACCAAAAGGGGGACCCACCCTACTCCGACTCAGGCAGAGTTCTTGCTCTCCATGGAAATGCCTACCCATCCTGGTCCTTCGCCTGCTGGCCCCAGCGCCTCTAAGTGTGCAAACGGCGGATCTTGGGGTCTGTGGCGAAGTGATCACCATGAGCTCTGTCTGTGCCTCTCTTCCACCTTGTCACAGACTTGCAGCTCAAATCCGCAGCTCCGCTTGGACGATGGAGCAGCCACCAGCCTGCAGCCTACCTGGCCGTGGAGCACGGCTGCAGATTAATGGTCTGAGGCCCCAGCATCCATGGGCCTTTTTTTTTCCTCCCTCTTTTAACTTGATTTGCATCCAAGACTGGGGAGAGGGATCAAGGACTTGGGGTTCTGGAGCGAAGCACTCTCTCACTCAAATGAGTTCTTACCTGGCTTTAAGGTGATTTAAGTAGATTTCATTGCAAAATCTCAGATAATGAGATAGTGGCTAAGTGAGGAGTAGGTGTAAAGGGTTAAGGCTAGAAGTGGGTACTAAAGGCTATTGAGATTATAATTGCTTAAGAATAGAAAAAATGGATAGGTTATGAAATATTAAGGAGATGAACATTACAGGACTTTGTATATCAGTGGTGAGGAAGAGGAAGGAATCTAGACTGACTTTCAAGATTGCTGACCTGAACCACTAAGTGGCTAGTAATACTAGTTCCTGATAATAGAATACAGAGGAGTGCGGGCAGGATGGTTGGGGAGAGTGACGGTATCAGCTTTAACAGTGTTGCATTTGAGGTGCCTTCATATATTCCAGTGGAAAGAGAAGTCTTAGAGTAGCAAACGTTCATGTAGCGTTGTTATGCACTAGGCCCTTAGGTTTGTGGGAACATGGTGGCTCGGTTAGTTTGCATAGTAACAGGAACACATAATGAAGATTGAGAAGTAGATAGAGCAATAGCTAAGAAAAGTGGATGAGGCAGGCGCACTGGTGGGAAAAAAGATCAGAGGCATATTTACCTATTTGGAACTACTTGCATTTTGTGCTTGGCAAAGGCAAATCCAGATTTCATGGGTAAGCCTGAAATTTGTACAGTTTGGGGGACCCTCTTTAAGAAAAAGGTATAAAATTATAATAATAAAACTATATAAACAAAATTAATGTTTATATAGACTTAGAAATCACAACAAATTACAGATTTTCAAAAGCTGACAGATAACCACAGATGTTGCAAATTCAGACTCGTCTCTAAAATACTTTTTTTCTTATTACATTTTTTAGCTGTATGGTGATCACCACTTCAAATGCTAGATTTTGTACACAGGTTTCCCCTGCTCCGAAAATAGAGCATTCCTATAAAGCTCTTTGTAAGTCAAAATGGCATAAAGCAAAGAAGCAATTATCATTAATTTATATGAGAAAAATATTTGAATGTTCCCAGACCCAAAAAATAACCTACCAAATCATACCAAATAATCCATAAAACCTAAAATAACGCTAACATATAGTAAAAGCAGGAATGATATGGTAAATACACAGCCTATATAAAGTAGAAATAATGTATGCTAAGATGCTGAGTATAGTTCCTGGGGAACGAGCTTGGTGATGCCACTCTTGCTGCTCTGCTTGCATGCTGCCTCTTTTAACGGCTGACTGCAAAACAAACACTGAATGCTATTTCTGCTTTTTGCCTTTTTCAAAAAGCAAAAATGCTCTTCAGATTTCTTTGGGTTAGCGAAAACAGATACTAATGTAGATCTTTCATAAAAGTAAAGTGATGTAAACAAACTTTGGAAAAGCAGAGGATACCTGTATTCTGTTCCATGTTGAGGGAATAGAGGAGTAATTCAGTCTTTTCTCTAGCATAGTTGATTGAAATTTGTTTATTGATAGTTTTAATAGTTTTTTTTCAGATCCACAAGTTACTTACTGTTGGTAATATTGTATAAGTTTTTATGAAATTGTATCAGTTTTAGGAAAACATCGTGTTTCTTTCCTGGATACGTATACATTAAATGCATACATGCATACATTACATGGTCTCTGGGTGATGCAAACAGTTGGCAGTTCAAACCCACTCAGATGTGCCACGGAAGAAAGGCCTGACGATGTGCATCTGTAAAGATTATACCTTCCCTGTGGAGCAGTTGTACTCTGTCACACATGGGGTCGCCATGAGTTGGAATCAACTCAACAGCAACAGGTTTGGTTTTTTTCATACATTACATACATACATATATCTGTTATATACATGCACACATATAAACATACACATACATGCTATTTCAAGACATTTCAAGTTTTCTTGTATAGTGATAATTCTTAAATACAGTGTAAATTGACAACAGTTACTAATAGGATAACCATATAATTTCTCATCCAAACTGGGACATGTTTAAGAATGAAAGAGGGGCACTTTTCTGCCAGGGCAACAGGTATAAACTGGGTGGTATAGTCACCCTTCTCATTAAATAGTTTATCCTCATTGTAGTTGTGTATTATGACTTTTATGTTAAAACAACGACAACAACAACATTACTATTGAGTCATAGAGACTCATAGAGACCCTGTAGGACAGAGTAGAACTGCCCCATGGGGTTTCCAAGGCTGTAAATCTTTACAGAAGCAGACTGCCACATCCTTCTCCTGCGGAGCAGCTGGTGTGTTCAAACCACCAACCTTCGGTTAGCAGCCAAGCACTTTAACCACTGCACCACCAGGGCTCCTTGAGTTTTTGTGTTGAACTCTATTTTCATGTTGTGACACCAGGGTGGTAGGGGTATGCCTGCAATCCATTCCTATAGCTTATCTCTACAAGGAAGTGGTCATGAACCACAAAACTATATCCCACCAAACCAAAAACTAAATGTATCCCCAGCTCAACTTTTCCTTAGTATTAGCCAGATCCCCAAAACACTGTGACCAACCCAAGACGAGTAGAAAGGGAGAGAGGGGAAGTAGGAGTAGAAAAACAACAGTGGTTTTAACCAATTGCGGTTAAAAATATCTTACTTTAGCAAATTTTACAAAAACAATGTCACCCAAATAATCTGGCCCAAGCCTACCTCAGGTCTCCTATTGGCTTGCTATATCGAAGCTGTATGTTTTCTTTCAGTTCCTGGAATGCCTAGCTAATTCTTACTTACCCTTTTTAAATCTCAGCTGAAATGTGGATCAGAGAAGCCTTTCCCAAACCCCAGACTAAATGAGATTTTGTTGGCTTATGACCTCATTTTTTTCCTTTACAGTTTTTGTTCATATTATAATTTATTATTTGTATAATTAGTAATTGTGTAATTGCCTTTTAGTATCACTAGACTGTACAGTCCATGAGGGCAGAAACCCTGCCTATTTTGTTCACTACTGTTTTATCTCTGGCATCTAGCACTTTGCTTGGTTCATAGTATGTGTCCAGTAAATAGTATTGAATGGAGGAAATGAATATATGGATCTGGAGCTCAAAAGAGAGAGCTGGTTAGGTGTTACAGATGGGAGTTAGCAGCGTATAAGTGATAAATGAGGCGATGAGAATGAATGAAGTTAGCCCTCTCATCATTCATCTCAATCTCTCTTGATGAAGACGCAACCCTGATTATCACTTATGGGAAAGAAAAGGAAATCTAAAAGAAGGTAGAACAGGACCATGAGACTGAAGAAAAACCATGAACCAAAGAAAGAACATTTCAAAAAGGAAAGAGTAGCTAGTGCTAAGAGATTAGTTAACTAAGGATTGAAAACTGTCCATTGGATTTAGCAACGAAAGTTGTTAGTAGCCTTAAACCTCAGCTTATTGGGATAGAATTTTTTCCTTTACTCTATAGAAATAAAAAATGACACCTAATTATCTGTGCTTAGACTCTAAGGTAATCTAATTTATTAGATATTCTGACACTTCATTCAATAATTTACTTGTTAATGCATTTTAATAGCAATTGTTTTCTTCTTGTATTCTCATTAGCAAAAGGGACTGACACTTTTTAGCCAAGGAGAAGTGTTCAGGTTATCACATAATCCCTGAATAACTCTTCTTTCCCTTTGTGAGTACAGAATATTAATGGGAAGAGGTGAAATTATGAGCATAGTTGGTATTTAAAACTGTTTTAAAATAGGTTGGCTTTCAGTTTACAAAATTTTTTTTAATTTGCATACTTTGGTTTTGGTTAAGAACTCTTAAAAAATGACTAAAATTGCTAAAACTATTAATATCAAAACTGAGAAGCAGCGAATCTTGTTCATCTCTAGATCTGAGAAATACAAACATAAGTATTTTGCAAACTATTCTTTTTGTTAACAGGATTGTTTTGTTATTTTTCAGATACACCATCAAAGATAATTCCAAAAAGCATATTGAAGTATGGGATCCTTCTCCAGAAGAAATTATTTCAAATGAAGTAAACAACTTAAATCCTGTATCTACAAAATCTCTACCTAATGAGAATTTCCAGTCATTTTATAATAAGGAACTACCTGTGCATATCTGCAATGTAATATCTCCTGAGAAGATTTATGTTCAGTGGTTATTAACAGAAAACTTACTTACTAGGTATAACATATAAAGAACACATATTGCATGTGGTTTTATTCTTTCTGCATTTTGTTTCAAAGATCTAGAAGTCTTAAATGTAGAATTTTAAAAGTGGAAAAATTATTTAGCTAGATAGTACTAAAAATAGCTAAAAGTAATATTTTTACTGGTTGTTTTCACCACTAGATTCATTCATTCCATAAATACTTATTGAGCACCAATTATGTGACAGCCATTTTTTCTAGGTGTTGGGTATGCAGTGGTAAAAACATGGACAAGTCTTTGCACCCACAGAGTTTAAATTCCAGCAGAAGGGTGACAATAAACAAATATTTAGTGTGGCATATGATGATAAGTGTAACAGATAAAAATAAAGCAGTTGGGGAAGAAGGCAATTTTAGGGTGGTCAAGGAAGACCTCACTGAATCAGTAAGGTCAGTTTTAAATGGCTCTTGAAGGAAGAGAGGGAGTAAGCCGTGTGGTTATCTGGAGGAAGTTCATCTCAGACAGAACATCTAGTACAAAAGACCCTGAGTTGGAAATATGCTTGGCATATTTAAGGAGGAACAGGGTGTCTAGTTTGGCTGGAGTGGAATGAGCAAGGTGGGATAATAGAAGAACTGTGGTCAGAGAATTACATGTTATAAGAAAAGATTTAGAAAGTTAAATATTTTTTATCTTTACATAGTTTAGATGAAAAAATGGTAGCTGCTCATGAAAATTCAAAATGGGAACCTATTAAATGGGAAAAGGATATGCATTGTGCTGTTAAGATCCCCGATAAACATCAGTGGAGGAGAGGCCAGATCATCAGAATGGTTACAGACACATTGGTAGAGGTAAATGCAGAGTTAAAAATAAAATTGTGAAAGTGAATCAGTTTTTTATTTTTTATTATGCTTTTTAGTTTGCAAACAAATATTTTTAAATATGTTGTCTTTCCATAGACTTAAAGCTATTATCTTCATAGGTCTTGCTGTATGACGTGGGTGTTGAACTAGTAGTGAATATTAACTGTCTAAGAGAACTTCAAGAAAATCTAAAGACAATGGGAAGATTATCTTTGGAATGCTCTCTTGTTGATATAAGGTAGCTTTTAGCAGAATAAATGAATTTTCTCATTGAATATGATCATTTTAAGTATTTTTCTTTTGAGATGGCTCCTTGTTTTAATTTTGTTAACATGTTCTGAAGTTTTCATAAAATAAACTATTTCATAAACTTAGAATTGCATGGAAAACTAAAAATGCATAAATTATCAAGAAGGATCTCTCTAGGATTCTGGGAAAATGGCATGACACAGTTTCTGAGTCTCCTGGAATCATAAAAATCAGAGCATCTTGACTACACAGTCAACATCTACAACAAAAGTAGGTAACAAGGTTTCCCCTTACAAGTCCCTAAATATGAGCAGGTAGGGCACCGTGAACCACCGTTTATGTGGGAGAATGTGGAAGAAAGATACCTGGGATTCTGATAGCCTGACAGTAGGAACTGGCAACAGTATTTCACTGGAACATACAGACCAATCTGAGAACGACAACCAAAACTATTGTCAGAGGGTAATGTAAGATGCAATTCATAGTTGAATATAAGACATCTGTAATGTGCTAAAGTTTCATAGTACTGGAGCTTTCTTAGCCATGTATTGTTGTTGGTGTTGGTGTTAGTTGCCATCGAGTTGGCTGGGACCCATAGCAACCTTATGTATAATAGAAGAAGACATTGCCTGGTCTTGTGCCATCTTCATGATCATTGCTATGTTTGAGTCCATTGTCTTGGCCACCGTGTCAGTCCGTCTCACTGAGGGCCTCTCTCACCTTTACTTACCTTCCACTTTACCAACCACAATATCCTTTTCTGGTCTTTCCTGATGACGTGTCCAAAGTACACAAGCTAAAGTCACTATCTTCGCTTCTAAGGAACATTCTGGTTGTATTTAGCCATATAAACTTTTGAAAATAAACTGAACTTCCCTTCCATGACCCCACACTGAGTAGAAACTGCTGGGAGTAGAGCCTAATTTGAGCAGTTCAGAGACGATGGGACAAAGAAAAGAAAAGGTCCAATAAAAGTAGAGGAGAGGAACAGAGGAACAAGATTTCAGTGCAGGAGGCCATGTATTTTGTCACTTTGGGAACACAACAAAAGTGAGAGCTCTAGAGCTGTGAAGCTAGAAAAGTGATCATAATCCACTCCTTCCTCCTAAAAGCTCAGGAAAATTTATTTTACTTTAAAAAATGAGCAAAAGGAAGGGTTACAGTCAAATGCTATACAAAGTTATTGTAAGAAAAAAGATAATAAGGAGTTAGATACTATCGCTAGGGCAATGGAAATTCTCCAAACAGACATGCTCACAAAACCAACAGTAATCTAATTTTTCAAAATGAACTCAATTTTAAAAATTATAAAAGCTTTGAAAGAACAATGTGAATTAGAATTAGAAAAAATTAGAACTAAAATGGTTAAAGAAAAAGGAAAATTTGAACAGAGAGATAATAGAGCTCAGGAAAGAATTAGAAATTAAGAAAATAATTTCAGAAATGTAGACTAAACTGAAAGAAATACAAAAGCAAATAAACACAATATATGATAATGCCTTAAGAGAAATAGAAAGGAGGGAAATTTTTTTGAAATACACAAAAAATAAATAAAAATCCCAAGGATTCAAAAGATACATAAAATAGACAAAGACGACTCAATGCAAGTGTAATAATAGGAAACCCAAAGAAGAAAACTAAAGCAATAGAACAAAACAAATGTACCTGAAATAAAAGACTATTTGAAACTATAAATTGAAAGGCCTCACTGCATATCTAGGAAAATCATTTCAGAATGGCCAACACAGAGAGATAATCTAGTAAAATTTTTGACTTAGAAGGAAGATCCCACTGTTACCACCGGTGCTTTATGCCAGAAGACAATGAATTTAAAATATTGAAGGAGAGAAAATGGCGAATATGGATTTTAAATCCAGTCAAACTGACCTTCAAGTATAAAGACCAGAGACAAAATATATGACCATTCAAGAACTTAGGGAATATTATTCCTTGGAACTCTTCCTGATGAATCTATTAAGAGACCCAGCTTAGGCAAACAAAAAGACAAGAGAGTTTTTTGTTTTTTTTTAATGATTTATTTTTATTGTTCAGAATAAACACAGCAAAACATATACCAAAAACATACACCAGTTCAACAGTTTCTACATGTACAATTCAGTGACATTGATGACATTCTTCGAGTTGGGCAACCATTCTCACCCTCCTTTTCTGAGTTGTTCCTCCCACATTAATGTAAACTCACTGCCCCCTATGATCCGCATCTAATCCTTTGAGTTGCTGTTGTCAGTTTATCCTATATAGATAGATCTTGAAGGAGTACAATGATCAAGGCAGACATTCTTTAGTTAAGCTAAACTATTGTTTAAAGATTTCAGGGAATATTTTTGGTTTAAGGTTTAAAGATTATCTCAGGGCTATATTTTCAGGGGTTCATCCAGCCTCCATGGCTCAAAAAAATCTGGATTCCATGAAAATTTGAAATTCTGTTCTGCATTTTTCCCCAGATGAGAGAAATTTTGATGTAAGGAGTGGTGGTGAGCCTTGTATTTATTTAACCTGTAGAACTAACACTAAATGATCATTATTAGAGAAATAGTATAGTATGCAATGGACAAAGTCGATATAGCACAGTTTCAAAAACTGAAGAGAGTAATAAGAGTATATATGAAAGATTGAATAAGCTTCCTGTTTATCTTAGTGATACTAATTAGGAGTAAAAGCACTTCCAATAAGATGGTAGGAGAAAGGGGAGGGGGAAGAATTTACTAACAATACTAATTTTGGAACTATGTTAATTAATATTCTATATAAATACATCAGTAAAAGTAGTAAGGAAAGTGAAACTCATGAAATCTAACTATATCTTGTGGTGGCATAGCCTCTCAGAGAGGAACTTCTTCAAGTGATTTTAAAGCAACATAAATGGACTGCACATCTTTAGTGGATTATATTCTAAGGACAAAATAATACCCGCCCCTTGCCGAAAATGGATCTCTGGTGGTGCAGTGGTTAAGAGCTTGGCTGCTAACCTAAAGGTCTGCAGTTCGAATCCACCAGCTGCTCCTTGGAAACCCTACGAGGTAGTTCTGTTCTCTCCTGTAGGGTTGCTATGAGTCAGAATTAACTCGATGGGAACAGCTGTCCTCCCCAAAAAACTCATCAGCTCTTTTCAGTAGATGGTAATAGTGTTGATACTGTTATTCTAAAACGCTTGTGTGTGTTGTGGGATAAATCAAAATAGTAATTATCTATATATTATTAAGAACTGATGTGGTTGATAAATGATAAAAGTGTAAGATTGAGGTTAATTAAAAACCCTATAGACCTGATTTTTAATTGGGATTATCAGTAAAAATTAATGAGGTATTTTATTTTTTTTAAATATATATTCTGTAGCCTTATAACATGACTAACCAGTAGCAGTGAGCTCCTCTAGTACACAAATTGTGATCTCCAAATACCATTACCCACTAAGAGAAATTAGTGCTCTTTGGAAAAATGCCTGATTTCAGGTGTTGGGCAGGAAATGTAGAATATGACCCTAGAATATCTTATCATAGCAAAAAGCAAAAAAGCTATTAAAAATTACTGGGATCATGACAAGAGAAGTCAGTAGCCAACCTGGGTAAACTTGTACTGACCAAAGATGGAACAATTTGAGCATCAGTAAGGATGATAATTGTAATGTATTTGCTATGTTTAAATCCATAAATTCATAGTGATATTAAAAAAAATTTATTGGTTACCTTTAGAGGATTCTAGGGAACCATCTTATTATTCTGAAAACTGGTAAATAAGGGAAATGAATTTACCTTGCTTTTCCCATACAATCTATATTTCAGGATAATGAAATAGTTGATAAGGGGAAGTTTTTCTTTATAGACATATACCAACTAACAAACAAAGGAAGAATGATATCATTAGAATATTAACGTCATTTTACAACCCCTAATAAATTAAAGGAAGAGTCCAGGTAGCACAAATGGTTAAGTGCTGCAGTACTAACCGAAAGGATGGTGGTTCTAACCCACTTAGAGGCACATTGGAAGAAAGAGCTGATCATCTGCTTCTGAAAGGCCACAGCTATTAAAACACTTCGGAGTGCAATTCTACTCTGAAACACATGGGGTCGCCTTGAGTCAGAATTGACTCAATGGCAACTGGTTTGGGTTTTTTTTGGAATAAATTAAGGGATCTAAACAGTGATTGTCAGTGACTGTTGGCATCACAATGAAGGAGAACCAGACATTATGTACCTACTAATGGAAATCTGCAGCACCACCTAGAAGGAGTATTGCTGGAAAAAGGAAAAAGCAAACCTGAATCTGATCAAGGCTCTAGACCTAACTTTGAATTTAAAGGAAATACAAGGGACAGAAGAACATGTTAAACGCCTCAGGGATGCAGTCAGCTAAATCAAAGTCGTAGGAAACTACAAAACAAACGACTCTTTTTTTTAACAGAAAATTGCAAGGGAAAGTGATGGAGGAATTCAGTATATGTATCAGTCATTCATGATATCTGAACCTTTTTTGCTTCCCAATTCAAACAAACTGTTTTAAAATATCAGGAAACTATGAACACTGTATGAATATTTGATATTAAGGAATTATTAAATTTTTTTACATATGATAATGCTACTGTAGATATGTTTATTTAAAAGACTTTTGAAAATAAACTAAAATCTTTCCAAATGAAATGATGTGATATCTTGGATTTGCTTCAAAATAATCGGGTGGGAGTGCGTGGGTAGGAGTATAGATGAATAAAATTGGTCATGTATTCAAAATCCCCATGTGGTGGCTTTCATGTTACTGTAATACTGGAAGCTGTGCCACCGGTCTTTCAGATACCAGGAGGGTCACCCATGGTGGACAGATTTCACCTGAGCTTCCAGACTAAGACAGACTAGGAAGAAGGACCTGGTGGTCTATTTATGAAAAAATTAGCTGGAGAAAACCTTATGAATAGCAGCAGAACATGTCTTATAAAGTGCCAGAAGATGAGCCTCTCAGGTTGGAAGGAACT